TTCGATAGAGCTGAAGCGAAAGAGCGACTCAAGAAGAATGAGAATGGTACAGATGACGACGGAGCTCTTTTGAAGAACTAAAGAAGTGACCAGTTCGAATATCTAGAAGTGGCACATATAATCCCCCATTCTCTCACGGCGGTCTCTTCAGAAGAGTCAGAATTGGTATGTGACCCATACGTTATCCAAGGTATTGTTTTCTTTCTAATAATAGCCTATAGAGCGCCTCGAAAAAGGCTGCACTGCATTTTCTGAATATGTTCGACCCAGACATTGGTGCCCTCATCGCAGGCCCAGATATTGATAATCCTTACAATGCATTGACGCTAACACTCAATTATCATCGACTTTTCGGAGAATTTGAGATATACTTCGAACAAAAAGATTCTAAAAATGAACGCATATATATCATTGACCCGACTGAACAGAGACCATTTTTACGCGACGCATTATTTCCAGTTACCCGCGAGCTGAATCTCAGCCCTGAGCTTGATGTTGACCCTCCTGCCCGGAAGCTTCTTGAGGTCCATTGTGCTATTGCTCACATTCTGAAACTTAGCGGTGCGGGTAATTACATAGAAAAGACTCCCCGAGAAATGGCTAAAACTTGCGTCAACGCAGATGGATCTACGGATATTGGACGCTCGTCAGATCACGACTCGGGAACTGGTCAAATATGTTAGCAGTTTTCTAGCTTGATCGCTCTGTAAGATGAATATCTCTAGATACTATACCCTTTATGCTTTATTTGCACCTGATACTGGCAGCCTAGATATTTTCATTGTTATGCTTCAGTTGGATAGATGAAATATATACTCTCATATCATGTCATGGTAAGTTCATACAATATGTATCATAGCTGGGTGAGATATCAAGCCTCTTGAGGGCGATCCCGGTATGGCCAGATCTTGTCTATCCATTCTCTTTGTCCCTTATTCTCCGCTAATGACATGAAAATTTGCTTTTTCATATGGTTTGTTATCTACACAGCTTCATACTCTTCAAGATCGACCATTTTATCAAGTGGCAGGATACCCGCATCTTAAAATTCTTCTATTAGTCGCTTAACATAGTCACGTTTATCTATTTCTTATTATACGATTTCCTTTCTTTTTCTGTAAAATAAAATAGAACAATGAGCTACAGATTACAGTTCCAGCCAATGGTCTACCACAGTTATCAATGATAAGCGAAGTCCAAAGACTTCTCTTGATGACTAGGCTTCACCTATTGATCGAATCGATTAAATAAAAGGTGACTTCTAGGTATTATTATAGCTTATTGCAATATAGTGTTCAGAATTTTTCTTAGCAGTAAGAACTTCATAATATTTATGGCATAGTGCACTCTCATAGAGCTTGTCTACCCTCAATTTGTCTTTCTTGGGTAGGATATTATAATTTTCTACTTTTCCTAGTATAACCCAGTCGAGTGAAAGCGGATTAATATGTTAAACTATTCGAGATATCTTGGCTTACAAGATCAAAAGAACGGCTATTGTATTTTGCTAATCGATGATTATAGTGATTGTATCCTCGACATTGCAGCGGAAACAGGTTGACGTCACATATCCTTCAGCTGCTCAAGTACATGTTCCAGGTTCCGTGCACTAGCGCTTGCGTTCTCAGCAAAAATTGCTATATAGACATAATGGATCAGCATCCGCAAAATGAAAAGACCGAAGACCAAGCTTGTACCATCAGGAGTTCCATCAAGAACTATCTCATGCATTTTCCCATCCAAAAGTAAAGTTGCAGGGCTCGTATTTGACTCTGTCTGGCGAGGGATTTGGGTTGGAACATATAGACGGGGATAACTTGATGAATCTAGAATTAAAATACAGGGTTGTCAACACCGGCCGTATAGAAATCTTGCACACTGGAGAGTTACCAAATCCAAAGTGTCGTGAATCGTGGAAAAACGCAAGTTACATCTATCTTCAGCTCTAGAAGCAGAAGCTGACGCAAAGGGGCTGGCAGCACGGAGAGCACTACCAACTCCAGGGTCAATCAGGACATAAGCTTCCCCCGGGTTACCGATAATAATGGGCACCTTCCTAACAACCAGATCTCCTCTCGCATCATAGTTGATGAAATCTGTTGTGACCTGATGAAAACGCCGCGCCGAGCAAGCGCTTCTAGTGCTGTACAGCGAGAACAAGGGCCGAGAAGCACTGCGAAACATATGGGCTCAGATTGATTAAGCTTGAAGATAAGTCAATCAACGGGCAGAAAATTCCTTCACAATTGAGGAAGCAATGAGCTCCAACGGTTGCAGGATACGTCGGATGGTAAATGTCAAGTGCAGTTGAGGCTGCGACCCTTTATTCTTTATAAGCTCTTGTCCCTAGATCACATTCCCGGAGCGGAAAAGGGATCGGCGGATCATTCTCCACACAGGGCGAATCCACCGCCCGAGAGTGGAAGTGAATCTCACTGATTGGCCTTGCAATTGTTAGTTTAAGGGCAACCCACATGATGGTCCTAGCTTAAGTTTGAGTGGACACGTTCTTTATTCGACAAAATACTGATATTCTTATAGATTGAAAATAATAGAATATTGGTAGAACTTATAAAAGTAGCTATTTCTAATCGTAGTATTAATTAATAGTGTGATATTTCCTGGAAAAGGCGACAGAAAATATATTTAACAAAGTGTAGCATCCTGAAGTCATCATTGTACTATAAACTCCATCCCTGTAGTGCAGTACATTATCTTCCCAGAATTGTCAGGTAGATGCAAAGGCCTGCTTTGTATCTAGAGAACTTGCAACTTCAAGTTCACTCACAACTCTGCCTATGTATCTTCTGCGTCCTTTGCTTCGAAGCCAGAACACCTGTATACTGTGATTCGCTGTTGGTCTCGATGTGTCGACCAGGCCCCCTAGTTTCCAATTCTTATCTTCTGGATCAAAATGAAGAAATTCTGTTTCCCTATTAATTTTTGTTTTCAAGAAGCCGGGAGGGTTGCCAGAGAAAAATAGACCCCTCCAGCTGAAATCTTCAGTCATATTGAGCGTGAGGTTGAACCCAGATAGATCGGACTGTGGGACAAGTTTCCTGGTAGAATGTCGGAATTGGAGATAATTTATGCGGATGATATGGCCTTTTTAAAGCTAAAACAAATAAATCACGTGGTATACTCTGCAAGATGCATGGATCATGTTCTGGTTCATATTCAACCCTGGATTTGTAAGTGTCGTGACTTAACTATCTTTTCATCTCCTCTCTCCATTTTTCTCCCTCTATGAGAACCACCGTTAGTTGCAAGCGCCACGGTGGTCACATTGATTTAGTTGTACAAACTTGTAGGATCCTGATAATCTAGAATTTGCAACTACAATTTCAGCTATCTATATGAATTTGCAAGTAAAGGAGTATTGAAGCTTTATTCTAATACTAGTATTGGTTTTCTATACTTAGACTAAGATACATGATTGTAAGAAATTGATTTTTTTTAGAACACGCCTCACTGCTTGAGCCTTGAGTAGCCATCCCCTAAGCGGTAAACCAGTAACTTCATACTCCAATTCTCTAACACTTGTGCCCCGTGGTGGCCCTTTCTGGGGCTCTAGCGCAGTCTTTATCTTCTTCAGTACCTCCTCCAACTTCTTGAGCGGGCTCCTAGATGGCATGCTGGCTGTACTGGAGGCAGTGAACTTAGTCTTAAGGTGAGCTTAGTACTAAGTCATAAATTCATCTTAGGGACAGAATGTGGTCCGCTGATAATTTTCGTTCTTCTAAAGATTTGCTGTTTTATTCCAGATTGAAATTATTTATTACCGGTCATGGATTTTGCGTCATCGATATGGCTTAGTATCCACTGCGAACTCATCTTTTCCCTGGTCATTTGATATTTTGTGTCTTAACTTCCGCTTGGCTTTTCTTCTGTATGTATAATGATTTGGAGTGAAAAGTAATATAGGCTGAGGTAATGTGGCCCACAAGTGAAATTCAGAATATCACCTGGGGTATTCCGCGGACGGCTCTCATTGTGCAGTAAGATGATATTGTCGAGATCATGGTACCTAAACCATGGGCAGATAGCAAGGATACTATGCACCATGTATCAGATAGCTTTGTGGCTGCCAGGCCGTGGTTTCTTCCACTATTCACAAGACACTCCGAGACATAGATCCCCGGCCCAAACTCATTGTCAGCGTTGGTTGAGATTATAACAGGGAGGACGCTGTAATAGGACAAGATTGACAGGATTGTCTGTATATGAGACAATCTCATCACTAGTTTGCAAGCTTTGTAGCTGGTCGTAGAAATAGGCACCGGCATAGTAAAGGCTCCTTAGTACTGGGATTGCTCTCGCCATCTGTCAATTCCTCGTGAGTTGCATGATGGTTTCACTGACAGGAACGACGGCATCTACTGCTTTGCCTGGGATATATTGCTCGGGTATGTAATGCTCATTCACCCTGCAGGTCTCTGACGGTACGTGGTCAAACTCGAAGATTCTGCAAGACATAGCTCGCGTTTGACCGGGATATTAAACAGGAGTTGCTCCACTCGGCTAAGTAGTTGCTTGGATGCGATTATATGGACATGCTGCTCAAGATACGATTTCTCGCCAATGCTGTGTGTATGTTTCTCATATTTGCCCCAGAGGGTGAGATTTCTGACGAAGTGCGTGCTGTGCAAAGTAGAAGATATGAGGGTATGGGGCCTACTGTCAGGTCTGACGGTGCCTCCTTGATTAATTTCTTCGCCTTTTTTACCGACACCGGCTGGTACGTTGAGGATGAGAAGAAGGTATCAATCTCTTTAGATGAACTATTTATATTGAGAAGGATGCAGGGGAAACTAGTGAATGAGGAACATAATGAATGTCTAAATCCCTAATTGCATTGAAAATAGTGAACATACAGTATAAATTCACAGCTAGTTCATATGTCGTTATATTCACACCACACACAGGGTACACAAGTGGCCAACCAAGGTTAAACACTACTGAACAGATGTCATGCTCACGAGCAACGATACGCTCACTGGATGGCAATATCGGCACAAGAGAGGTAAATCTGGCCGGTCTGGAACGAGTTCCACTTGAACGAAATCAAGGTGTGGTTGGAAGTGTACTCCGGAAGCTTGACCTTCTTGGTCACGGTGTAGCCACCGGCAATACTGGTGTAGCAAGAGTTCAACTCCGCATTGTCAACTCCCTGGCACTTAGGCCGGTCAGAAGCCTCGAAGCCATTGCACGTAAACCAATCGTTACGCCAGCAGGCCTCGCCCTCGGAGCAGTCCGCACTGTATCCACACTCCTGGCCATTGACATCCGTGCAGGGCAGCAGACCTGCGTCAAAGCAATCCTCAGCAGCCTGCTTCTCGTCGTCAGTGGGGAGGTAATCCGGGTCGAGGAACTTGTCGACAATAGTCTGGTCTTGACAGATCCGGTAGGTGAACATGCCGCCATGGTCGCCGTTGTGGTCGACACACCATTGCACTTCAATCTCTTCGCCGGCACTGTAGGTTTGCACAGCATCGGAGCCCCAGTTAGTGGTTGGCTGGTTGTAGTCGATACTATCACGGGCGTTGTAACCACAGGGTCCGCTGCGGCCGACTGGTGCGGCGTCGAGGTCGGGCCAGGAGGAGACAGGTTCGAGGATTGCACATTCAGGGCAAGAGTCGACACCGGCCTGGAGTCGTTAGTCAGGTTTGAGCTAGGTGGGAGTAGGAAGAGGGAGCAAATACCTCGTTGCCGAGACGGGTTCGGCTAGATGGGATGTACATGTAGCCATGACCTGCCACGGAGGTAGCCAAGCCGAGGGAGAGTAATGGGGCGAAGGCCTTCATTTTGATAAATTGTTCAATGGGAAGAAAGCTAGAGAGGTAGTATCCTGTCCTTTCGCGATTCTCATGTGCTTGATGTATTCAACAAACCTCCTTCATCCCGGTCAAATTGTCCAATATATATACATGACTCGAAATGCGATCGACGTCATTTTGGGCAATACCCACCTGACTCGAAACATTCCTAAACAGGGGACGGACATTTAATCCCAGTCCGATCTGCCTTAGTGGAAACAAGCTGCCCCGGAAGTTGCGGAGTCGGGACTCTATCGGAATGGCGCGCATACCAGATTAACACTCTTCAGGGCTGGCGATGTTGAAGATCATAGCTCAATGAAGTTTAGTCCGTGCCAAGAGTCATATTTTCTCCGTGATCGATAAAGTAGACTCTCGGACGCTTGACATCTAAGCGACCTTGGCATGAAGACGGAGTGGACGAGAAGTTCCGGTAAATTTCCGATGGGCATGGACTCATGCAGTAAATGCCAATTACTCTCGGGCCGGTGACTTGCATCCTGTTGATCGTGTATTGAGCTGAGACATGAAGGCAATGTGCTAGGTATGTTCTCTGTGGTTGGTTGGAGGAAGCTCAGAGAGTATTCATTTCTCTGTGGACTTACCTTAGAGCCGATAGGCTTACAGTAGTTTTGATTTACTGTCTATAGCTGGTTAGAAAATAACGCAAATATTCATATTCTGAAATTTCGTTCTGAAGTCCTAGGTCTGGGCCGTAACCGAAAAAGACGCATGATAAGATACATAATCCGTGTATTCCATATGTACGTCTGAATGATGCAGTACTGTAAGTAGACAGCAGGCTATGCGTACTTATATCCAAGAAATTGCAGGGCAACCTTCGGTATCCACTTGTGTGCCCATAGCTCAGTAGTGTATTGGATGTCCGAAAGTGAAGGCAGGGCAATAAATCCCATATTCCCTTCTACTGAGCGTTATAATTATCGTCTCAGAAGCCGACGCAGTACTGACAGCCCTACCAACGCTACAAACACTGCGTACACTCAGTCAAGAATAGCAGTTACACTGGGGTGTGCTTGCCCCGAAAAGTAGTGTCGTGGGATTGGACATGCTGCCTATAAAGGAATGATGCTTGTACTCTGGTATGGTAATTATACATCAGATATAAAATTAGATGATGGCTCTCCTTGCACAGACAACTGTGATGGAGCATCAAACGGTAAGGGCAGATGCCTAATATAGATGTTGTACTCCATCGTCTTCATTGCCAATGTGCACGTGTTAAGCCCAAGGCAGATCGTGACGGCCAAAAAAAAAAAAAATCAGATATACTACCAGTTTCAAGCCAATATACAATCGCATTGTCGCAAGGTAGACACAGTAGCTGCCCATAGATGTATGCCACCAAGTTATCAACACATCATGCCCTAGTCCTCACTACCCACGCTGCCACGCACGGCGTCATATCCCAGCGGGAATCTAGTCTTCTCGAATATGCCTTTAATTTGTCTTTGTCCTACCAAATATCCCCTGCAGTCAGGTTAAGAAGACGGGTGTGTCTTTATCACGGCTATTGAGAGAACCTCATGCTTCCAGGAATATCAACATGGACTAGACGGAAATGCTTTTTGTGCTTTCATGAGCGACACCAGGAAGCCGTTAGAGAGGACTCTGGCATTCCTGGAACAGAATACTTCATTCAGAGATATAGTTTAGAGGTTCGTGCGTGCATGGCCAACTTTTGTGATTGATGGATCATGTATATCAAGGGAGTACGCGATGATCCGATGATGATTACTCAGAGTCCTTGAGCGCTGCCACCGAAGGTAAGTCTTTTTGAGAGATTGCATGGCGTTCGGAAGTGTATGGTCTTGAATTAATGATCATCATCTTCAAGAGAGCTGGCTTCATGCCTGCAAAGCTTTAAGCTTGCGCCTGGTGACAAGCGTGATAACTATGCGGGCTTGATGTCACTTTTGTTATGAAGAGTGGTCCAGGATGTGATGGAAAACATGTGTAGCGGCGGAAGGGCTAGACCTGAGCAAGGAGTCTAGGTCAGGTTTTGCCAACAACTACTATCCTAGAACATTCGTCCAAAGACAGTTGTCTTTTCTTTGTATTGACCGCCGGTTGATGTATTAAAAAGAGATCGCCTCTTCTAACCGCGCGCATTTGGATATACATTAGGGCTAGCGGCAACTCTATCACCAATTGCGCCATGGCGGAGCAACGCGCTTATCCAGGAGTTATGATTGGGGATCCATGAAATGCAGTCTTTGCCAATGAAATGTGCTTCTCAAGTAATATGGCGGGTATAAATAGAGTCTTGCCCCCCCGTTCAGATATCATAGAAAAGTGAGTTCACCACATTATTAAAGCTACACTGGCTGTGAGTTTACCCGGTCTGGATAAGCAACCCCGTCTATTATGCTTATGATCGTTGCGGCTAGTTTGAATAAAGAACTCCACTGATTTAACATGTCCTATTCCCTATAATCTATAAACCAACATGGCCTACCTACTCTCTGTGGGGATTTTTGGCCCGGGTACGGACGAGCCTGCCCACTGGGGATTCGTCATCCACCAAACCACTCAACGGACTGGTGAGCTTCTGCATACTAGGATGATCGACGAAAACCTCAACATATTTCAATTCGAGCATCGGGCTCCACATAGGCTGATATCCCAAAGTGCGTGGGGTCTATGCAAAATAAGAGTCCTCGACAATACAGAGCGCTTAACAGTGATGTCCGTGCTCAAGAAGGTGCCGGCACCGAAGGGTGGGAATGAAAACTGCCAGAACTGGGTGATAGATGGGTTCATCGACCTCGAGGTGGGTGGACTGGTCCCGGAAGGAACGGCTGAAGCTTGGGGAAAGCGAATTGGCCTACCATCATCGAAGGTCAAGAATGACATTGGCAATGCATGGATATCTTTGAACGGGAGATAAACACTATACAGGGGAATACCGCATCATTGACCGGTCGACTTCATTCAAAATCTCATATTCTTTCTGTAAGCAAGGGATAGCAGAGTCGATCATTTCGACCCAGGGCGAATCCAAAGCAATACGCTTAGCGGCGAAAAACTCCCTCTCCGGAAGGCTGTACCCAGCTTCACCCCAGTCAACTATTCCCTGAATTAGCCCGTCCTTAATAATGATATTGCCTGGATGTAAGTCTCCATGGGTCATAAGTCCTAGACTACTAGAATACCCTTTCCTAAAGGATAGGATTTTGTCTTTGAGCGCTTCGTCTTGTTCATGCCAGACTCCGGGAGGCCTTGATAAACGGAGTGCCTCCACAACAGCATGCTGGTATTGCTCAAAGGAATAGAAAGGTCCATACTGTTTCGTAGATGTATAATCCCAGGGGTGTCTGAAGATGATGTCGTGGCATGGCCCGCCATTTACAGAGCCCAAGAACGAACTGGACAACTCACGCCATTCAGAAACATAGGATTTGAGTTGGTACGTAATCCTCTGGAGCTCTTCGCCGGGCATATCCTCCAAGCAAGATGCAAGGGTACTTCCCTCGATTTTGCTCATAAGGATGAATCCTATCTCGCCTATCGTGTAGGCAGTGTGAACCTTCGGCACCGGCACCTTTGTTTTTGTGGCGATTAAGAGTAATGCTTCTGCTTCATCCATACTGACTTCTTCGCCAACCTTCAAAACTGTGGATTCTGATATTTGTAACATCCAGTTGCCACCTATGCGATCGGGGGTAAGATCTATTGCAGATCTGAGTTGCTCTATCGGGACGATGGTTCTGTTTTGTTCGCCAAGAGAGCCCGTGAACACAACATCCGATCCATCGGTCATGATCTTGATCAAATCTTGGACAAATGATTCCTGTGATTCAAGTTAGACCAAGAACTTTTTATAGGCAACACTCATGAGCAACTTTGTTACTATAGGTGCATACCATGGTCGCAAATTTCTATAGAGGGACATGCGTCTATAAAACTACATATCCAAGAGGAAAAAGGGAAAATCCAAAGGTGGGTAGGGAAGGCAATATGTAATCCTCCGTTGGAGTTGTCGCATACTAGCGCAAGGAACACGGTTGAAGTATTTATCCGCCACAGCCCAACATGATGAGTACCACGTGCGAGGAATCAACAAGTGCTTGTGCAATGTATCCATGGGGTCCTGGGTTTCCGGGTATTCTTTGATATAGTACTATACCACTCAGCTTCTAATCCTTTGTTCACTTACTCCTATTTTGATTATTCAACTAACACAACTAGAAACTACACAGAGTGAGAAGTCAGTATTTATATTGATTTGATATAATCGACCGCTGGGCTGCAGATTCAGCATACTCCACAGATTGCAACTCTACAACCATGTCATAACTACTGATCAGTCTGTTACGTGCTTGCTTACACAGTATAGAGTGTTGGTATCCTCAACAGACTCTCGGATGTCATAATGTCTCCCATGAAACCCTTCTAGGAATAGAAATGCGTGCAAAAGTCCTACTCTAGCGGAGCTTTCATGCCATCGCCTTCTCTGTTCGGGAACATCACGAGCGTCTTTTCCAGCGCCTGCAGTCCTTGCAAGCAGTGGTTCAGGCCGTTTGTCAGCGTGTATACACTGCTTGTCTCCATCTTAGCCATCAAACGCTGGATTTCGTCCGCAAGTATTTTGGCAGCCAGTGTATAGGCCTTAACAACAAGGGCCGGTTGCTGTGCAGCCAGGTTAGCTTCAGGGGTACTATAGTTGGAGAAAGGTCACCCTCACCGGATGCGCAGCTATATCCTGCACATTCACCTTCAGATTATGGCCCCCTTGGAGTCCGGGACCCGGCACTCTAATACTCAATGATGCTAGGTAGGATATATTCATGGCACTTGCAAACCTCACCTCTTGGCGATACGCACTCGTCGATCGGAGAACCGTGTGAAGGCTATCTTGAGCTGGCAACGATTCCATGAGGTTTATCTCCAGTTCGCGGATAAGCTCATCGAATAGGAGAATCGCCAGGTCGCCATCAGTGGCACAGAATAGAACCCTGCGTCGGACATCCGCTCGGGACGCTTGTAAGCTCGTAATGGTTGTAGAGGTAATGGGGCCAAAGGCTACTCTCCATGAGTCGATGAGCACAGTTGTCGCGGTGTAGTGGCGCTGAAAGCTTTCCCCATCTCCCACGCCCGTCAGCAAATCTTGCGATGCGACTGTCAGCAGCGCTAGTGATCGCCACAGCAGCACAGCAAGCGAGCCTGCATTAGTGACAGCGCGATCCACAACATCGCACGATGCGTTCTTGGACCACAAAGTAGTCACATTGTGCTTTTTAGGTCGAGCACGCGCAAGAATAGAATCCTTAATTTCTTGCTCATGCCTTCTCGTCTTCAGTTCGTCCGAATTGTCAGGCTGTACTGGGCCCCGCAAAGGTAATTTGTTAATACTAGTGTCTCGAAGCTCGAGACTCATTGGGTCCATTCGCTCACGAGACATGGCGACGGTGACAGAGTGAGACATCCAGAAGAACCACTCAATGGCACCAACCACCTCTAGGATGTATTGTCGAACTTCGAACGAGAATGCTTGGACTATGTGTGGCTTTCGCCTCCCAGTGCCGGTGCCTACCGCATTTGCAGAGAGGCGAGGACTTCCTTGCTTGTGATTTTCCTGGAGATACACCCGTGCATTAGAACAGAGTGCCCGCAGACGCCGAGCCCCTTCGCGGTGCGCGAAAGTGATATCCTCCGCACACATTTCGCTCTGCTCCAGCCCTGTTGGTGGCAAAACTCCGCCAAAGAGAACGAGGGAGAGTGCCAGGCGAAAAGACCTAGTTGCTCCAATGTTCTTGAAGAGCATCTCTCTGGCCTTTTGCCATGTTGCAAAAGCAATGTCTCTGGCCCACGAATGTGACTTGGCCGTTCTTGTCTGGTTGTTTTCGTGCACTGTGAATTGGGTGGCTATTGCAATAGCAACCCATTTGTATGTTTCATCAATAGCGTCATCTCGCATATTGCGAGATTTAGGGCTTTGCGAGAGCCCCGGGCGCTGAAAGAGTGCGTCCAGTAGTGATACAGCGAGGTAAAGATTGGGTGTCGCAGATTCTAAGTTCCAAGATGTCAGATTCATGTCCCAGCAGTTGTTGATGCTCGATCGGGCGCTCTCTAGATACGGAGATATATCGGCGCTATTGCTCAACGGCACTAGGGCGTCTATCCCTAGAGAATAGCAAGGAGGCATGCATCTCTCCGAAAGGCAGGTTGCAATCTGTATATCAACGACATCGATATATAAATACAAGTGCTGCACGCATTGTTCTCGTGCCTCCAGCTGCTTCGCTTGGTCCCATTCAGGCCGGGGTATCAACGTCACACCTTGCACACTGGACACATCCTCAGTTGGTCTCCATTGGGAATTAGGAGCTCTGTTGCCCGCTGGAGATCTAGGGGGAGTTTCTTCTCGCCTGTGGATGTGGCGGGGGGGTTTCCGGCTAGCTAACCAGGCTACCGTACATTCCATACTCCGGAGGGAGCACATGGTACAAGCAACTGTGGGTTTGTTGCCAGAGATTGCCACCCCCCTTGGAAGGTCGCATCCCCGTTTTGCCAGACGACATGGATCACACGAGTGGTTCTGTCGACGTATCCGCCGCCCTGTGCTCGGTTTTTGTGTAGTGGCGGAGACTGGGTACGGCTCCTGATGGTTATGAACGGTAGGTGCCGCAGAGGTTCGATCATCGGTTTGAAAATGTGAGTATGGATGGGTGGTACTGTCAGTACATGTCTTTTGGTTTTGGTAGGAAGCCTCCAGACTGTCTAACCAGCCTGGCTCTGTCTCTGTCCATCGTGGTAGCTGCTCCTTTTCACCTACATGGATGACGGAGCTCACAGACTGGCCCAGGTCTGAATCAGGGGGAGTCAGGCAAAACGGCAGTGAAAACTGGAGCTCATTGATCGGAATCCAATTGCAGTCATCGTTTGAGTCATGCGATATTTGTGGGAATTGCAGGTAATTGTCTTGTGGGGAGAATGTCATTTTCTTGCTGTTGCGATTCCGAGGAAGCCGAACTACATAATGGAACCATCGGTAGTGAGAAATCCTGGGAACCGTTCATTCTCTTCGAATGTATGAGTGGAGGAGAATGCGGAGGCTCATTAATATGCGACAAGAGAATCCGGGGAATGGAGATCATCCGTGGGGGGTCCGCGGGTCCCGGCCAAACTCCACCATACATTGAGTTTGGGATATGATATAGTTTGTGGATATTCCCTACGAACTGATGATATGGAATAGGGCGAAAGTAAGACTTTCATGTTCCAACAACAATATCCTGGCGTATCTGCAAATGACGCTGGCAAACGCAGACCCCTTGGGAGCGTGGTGTTTTTGATATTTCCTGGAACATGAGGCGAGATAATGTGAGAAAGAGACGCTTTCTGCACCGTTGATCACTGGTTGTACTATCTTGTCAAAGGCTAGATATAATCAATATATCCAGTTGGGGGGCAATGTAGGTCTTCTATAACCTCTGCGCCTCCGACGTGCGTACGAATTTCACACGCATCGTTGAACAGTCTAAGGCGGTCCTGAGGCACCGAAAATCCGCAGACTTGATGATCTTCGGGTTGATTATGGCCCCCATGAGAACCAAGGTTAAGTCTATGATGTTGATGTCGATCAATCGAGGAACCGCGGGTCCGCTTCCATCCCGCATTGACCCATACTCCACCGACATCTGCATAGCGAATAGCACTGCAACGCGAACTACAGGTCTGGCTCGGTTTCGGTAACCGCGGGCACCGAGGTTAAACCGAGTCTCCTCACGATCTGAGCAGTTGAGCACTTGCCCTGAGGCTCATTATTTGAGACCGATCGTTGACACTGTGTGGCACCAGAGCTGCCACCAACGGTCATCCAAATCTGGTATCTCACATTGTCTTTTGGAGGCATCAGCACACCCCAACAATCAGACAAAAATCATGACAGGCCGTCCATCTTCCAAGCGACATGCATTCTTCGAACCGAACTTGGAGATTCCCCCACAGGATGTTGAATATTTTGCTTCCCTCCCATTTGCTGCACCCTATCTGAGCAGCCCACTGTACGAGCCGGTTCCATTCGTCACCCGATATGATGCAAAAGGCACCTCCAACAAGTTCTTCAGTAAAGTGATAAACACCGCTGATACAATCCCACACTTGCTGTCTCTGGCTCGAGTGCCAGACTCAAAGCCAAACCAGATTCCAGATCAACGTGACGATGGAGCCCCAGATTTCGTGGTTTTCGTTTCTCTCGGCCCCGATCTGTGCGGATTCCAGGATACAGTCCACGGTGGAGTCTTGGCTGCCCTGCTTGACGAGGCTTTAGGCTTGTGTGCTGAGTCCACAGAGTTGGTGTCAAAGGGTCATACGCGGTTGTACACCGCTGGCCTCGAGATTTCGTATCGCTCTCCTGTGCAGGCGCCGAGCGTCGCTATGATCAAAACATGGGTCACGAAGAGGCAGGGCAGGAAGTGGTTCTTGGAAGCACAGGTTCTTGATCAAGATGGCTCGGTAAAGGTAGAGGCTAAGACGTTGTATATCAGCTCGAGAGTTGATGCTGGATTATAGTTCCTGGGCGCAACTCAGTTGAGACTTGTGGACTCTGAGCAAGGAAGTATATTCGTGTTTGTGTTGAGCTTCTATTTGGGAAACAATAAGCCCGCTTCCTACCTATATAATTCTATCAACATCAGGCATTGTTGTTTAGCATATTGGCGTATAACCAGCCTTACCATGTAATGATACATGTGTTTAGCGGTCAAAACACCATTGTAAAAGAATTCCAAACGGTGCTAGTTCTGATTCCCAGGGCTTTGGAAGTATCTGTCTCTCTTTAATTCTATATCAATCGCCTCTTGAACAACGTCCAGCTTGACACCTCAGCGCAAAGGCATTCATGATATACAAGAAGCCCTCGATCTACTACATCATGTATCCCCAATAAATGAAATTAAGGTTATATACGTTTTGGCGAGAGAATGGAAATACTATGTAGCAAGAAACCTATGTTATGAACTTGATTATACAATACTGTTATTCCTCTTAGGACGGATACAGGCATGTTTTAATATGACTTAAGAAACATACACCCAAAAGTGAAACGCACCACGGTTTATGCACATTGGACATGACCAACTTCATAAAATTCAAAGACAAAGAACAGTCTGCATTCCTAACTCGAAGGGATACTAGCTTTGCTAATTCACACCATAATCCTCTCCAGAAGCCTACCACAACCCAGTCGCTACCAAGCTACCCCTCAACCGACTCAACAATCTGATCCCGAGGCATCCAAGTCTCTCCATGGACTTGATAAACGTCTCCAGCTCCGCCCAGTCTTCAGGACATTGGACACCGGGCCGCTGCTGGGCGCCCAAATCCAACACCATCAGGGCAAAAGCGGCACAAGATGCACCAATGGAAGTGGCCATGCTCTCTCCCATGAAAGAGTCTTTTCGGACGACGGGTGTGCGTCTGGTGGTGACAGCAGGGTGTCCATTTCGGGTGCCAATGCCTCGAACGAGGATCCCCGAACGACGTGGCGCTTGCTTGCCCCGTGCAGAATTGACCAAGAAACTCAGGACCTCCCCTGATGTGCATTGTCCCTTGCGAACCTGGTTGATCATCCCCCAGAGGGCAAGGTTCCACGGTTTGAGGGATGAAATGCCGTGGGCAGCTAGCTGGTATAGCTGATTTAGCGTAATGTCACCGCCCCGGAACTGAGCAGTGATGGCACCGACTGTCTCACCCCAGCTGGTGGAGGTCTTTTTCTGCATACCCTCGAGAAAGTCGACAGCTGCGTCCATAGAAAGAGCTCCTGAGTGGACGGCGGCGCCCAGACCTCGGGCAAGGCCGTTGAATGGCGCGGGACTGAGAGCGCCCAGAGTGCGAATTCGAGGAACGGCTGGGAGTCGGCGCGGCAGGGTAACCGGCTCGGGGTGGACACTTTCATGGAAAAGATCGTTGGATCCAGCGATAATGGGGGCATAAACTGTCTCGACCCAGTTCTCATGCACGGCAGGTTTGCCGTCGGCCCAGGTTAAACAAGGCCCACCCGTGATATGCATCAGGTGCTCCAGGACCTCTCTGCCCAATTGGCCGCCCTCTTCGCTGACCAGCCAGCAAATATCCAGACTCTCGACAGTATCAAGTTCTTTGGCAATGTCAAGCGCGATAAGGTTGGTCATGCCCGGGGATGAGCCGCAATTGATGTAGCATGGGACGCCCTCCCTCTTTGCCTGCTCATGTGCATCGAGTGACGCTTGCGTGCTGCTCACATCGTCGGAATAGTCCAGATAGGGTACCTTTGCGTCAATACAAGCTGTGATGACGGGTGTTGAGGTTCGGTAGTATGGCTGTGCTCCTTGAATCACGAGCGCAGCACCGGCAATAGTGCTTCGTAGCTCATCCGGGTCAAAGAGGTTCACCTTCCGTATGGTGACATTCCTACCAGGTAGTTTGGCAGCGAATGTGCGCAGCTCTTCCTCATCAGCGTCTGCGAGGACAACTGGAACGTCGCTTGCTTGCACAAAAAGCCTGATGGCTTCTCTGCATATTGCGTCCGCCGCACCAATAAAGATGACTGGCTTAGAGCCGGTAGTATTGGTTTGCATGTTGTAAGAGGTTGCGTTTAATCTGGCGGATATTTTACGTTCGAAGAATGCAAAATGGATTACCAGCTATATTGGCTTGGTAGTGAAATGGTAGAGGTCGGCCTTTACCTTTTTCTTTCTACTTAGCCTACGGGGATCATAAATCTATATTGGGGCTTCTGCACCTGGTCATGCCCTAGGGGCGGGCTTGTACCTGATTGGAAACGACCTCGAAGACCTACCCGCGGCTCCGAGCTATCAGCATGCCCAAGATCTGGAGGATCATCAACGATCGGCGGGGGCAAGATTCGGATCCGGGGGGCCCGCGGGTTCCCGAGCATGGGGCGTTAGGGTTCGTTCCGTCGGGCAAATGCTCGAGCATCAACTCCCAAGAAATCGGAGGCAAATAGTTACCACAATAACTATGGGAAACTCATGAGCTAGCAGCATAAAAGCAAGGCATGTCGCTTTGCCTTGATTTCATCATGAACTATCCATTGCAGCACATTATCACACAAATCACTTGCGCCTTATAACGAGCTTTCACACAAGATGGCAACGAGTCTAATTCCACCCGAGCTCTTAGCGAAGTTGGCCAGTCAAATCATCCAGGACCCCGGCATTCCAGTCTCAGCTCCAACTGTTTCAGCATGGCAAGAACCTGCTCATCCTATTGCGACTATCCAGTCCGACGATTTGCCGCAGCGCACTGACTTTGCCATCATCGGTTCCGGTATCACTGGTACCAGCGTTGCTAAGGCAATCCTTGAACATGGATTAGCACGCCATAAGACGGTCACTATGTTTGAAGCCCGATCTCTGACTACCGGGGCAACTAGTCGCAATGGGGGCTTCCTGCTTAGCCATGCTCCGCCGTTCTTCAAACGCTATGTCGAGGCTTTTGGAACCGATGCGGCCACACAAATTGCCCTATTCTGCGACCGCACACTGGAAAGCATCGTGGATATGGCCAAGGCCGAGAATCTTGATAAGGCAAGCCAGATCAGAGACGTCACGACAGTCGCTAGCTTCGAAGATGAGGAAGGGTTCGCTGACGTGACTGAATCTATTCGCATGTATGAAGAGGCTATTCCTGAAGCCAAGGGAAAATATACAATAATCAACAAGGAGGCAGCAGAGAAGGTAATGCGCTCTGTGGTGCATAACTAGGACCTACTTGCTGCAGGCGGCATACTGATTGTTTTCAACAGGAGTATCATCTCAAGAAGTCTAGCGGCGCTCTGGTCGTTCATTCTCGCGTGTTCTGGCCATACAGACTGGTCACAAACCTTCTGGAGCGCCTTCTCCAACTTTATCCAGAGCGATTCGCAATCGAGACCCAGACACCGGTAATCTCAATCACCGTCGATGGGTCCGACAACGAATACCCCTACATATTGACAACTCCCAGGGGGACCGTAAGAGCCGCCAAGGTCTTCCACTGCACCAGCGGTTTTACAGGCCACCTTCTGCCCAAGCTCCGGGGAGCAATCTTCCCGTGCCGACTCTCCATGACAACGCAGAAGCCGGGGCCCCAGTGGGGGAATCGCCCCAACTCATGGCTCTTTCATTCAAAGCAATCATATGATGCCAGTACCACCTTAGTCGAGCAAGGTCTGTACTGGATGCAGCAAAATGCAGAAACCGGTGATCTGTTTGTCGGAGGCGACCTGCAGAGGCTGGATGATTTCATATCCTCAGACGACTCTGTTATCAGCGCGGATTCGGCGAGAAACCTTACTGATTTGCTCCCTAAGAGGCTCTTCAAGGAAGGCTGGACCAACCCCATCACAAATACTACCCTGACCTCCGCCACTGCCCTTCATAGGATCTGGTCTGGAATCCTCAGCATGACTGCTGATCAAGTCCCGATTGTGGGGAGTGTGCCGACAAGTGTCAGCGGTAGAAATGTTGAAGGAGGGGAGTGGGTTGCGGCTGGCTTCAATGGATACGGCATGTCTCAGTGTTGGTTATGTGGCGAGGCTATTGCTCGTATGGCGATGGGAGAGCCAAAGCCAGAGTGGCTCCCGGATGTCTACTTGAGTACTGAGAAGCGTCTGGGAGATGAGGCGTTTATGGGGCCAGAGGCAGCTTTGGCGTCCTTCTTTGCAAGGTAATACAAGAGGATAGATGCTGGCATGCAGGTCCCAGTCTGGCGGACTTATATTGAGAACCGGGCGTGAGTACTGCTTTAGTTCTATCAATAGTAAAATTTGAATATAACTACCACTTCCACTTTCACCGAGTATTTGAAATCCTCTTCTTTTTTTGTAACTTGTTATGTAGCCAAACCAGTATGGGCAATTTGATGCACGGCCGCTGGCATCTTCGAAGAATAACAACCCGGTATTGTGCAGGTATATTCACTTAGACCATCTAAATCAGCATTTCCTAGTTTCGACAAGGCAAAACATGCACCAAGCCCTTGGTTGATCAACCAATGACCGAGATACACATCTCAGACCACATTGCATCTCCTGCTAAGATATACACAGAATGGTATGTCACAAAAGGTTCTATATATCGAACACACTAGTCTACAGCATATAAATTCCCGGTCTATCCCCCGCCACACGTTCTATTCTGACCATTCCAATCCTGTCCGTATATCTCCCCACCACGCCCGTACAAGGTCCTTCCAATAGTACGACCGAGGAGCCCACTGCGGCCTGTCCCCAACTTTCGGAAACGCCGAACGACCCTTCCTGACATACGTAGCGTTCAGGTTCAGGAACGGCAGTTCCTGCATCTCGTTCTGCTCTTCCTCACTACAGCACGGAGAGACAATGCTCAGCCCTTCCTCCCGCATTTGCGTCAATATCCGACAGCTAAGCTGCGCGGTTGCATCAGCACCCAAAGTCCAGCTCGCATCGACATATCCCAGAGCAAACACCACATTCGGCAACCTATCGACCATACTGCATTTCCACATGTAATGGTCCGGAAGCGCAAACGGGACTCCGTCGACCATGATCTGGATGCCCCCCGCAATGTTCATCCTCAGTCCGGTGGCCGTGACGATGATATCGGCTTTGAGTTCGGCCCCGGATTGCAGCTGAATGCCCCTCTCCGTCACCGACTCGATCACCCCGGTGGCCACGCTGCCGCTCCCATTCCGGAGGCATTCGAAAAAGTCCCCGTCGGGACACATGCACATGCGTTGCTCCCAGGGGTTGTATCTGGGTGTGAAATGGGGGTCTAGAGGCACCTCCTGGGGAAGTTCCCTGCGGGTGATATCGAGACATAACGCTTCGCGAGTCTAGGGAACCAACGACAGAAAGTCACCAGGACGAGGGGCACGATGATCCATTTGAACCGGATGAGGCTGGCTGCCAGCTGTGCGGAGCAGATCCATCGAATCAGTTTCTCGACGGTGTCTTCCCTGGGAACAGATAGGACATAACCAGGGGAGCGTTGCAGCATCGTCACACTGGACGCTTTCTCCGCCAGTGACGGCAGCAGGGTGATGGCCGTGGCGCCGGAGCCGATGATGACGATGTCCTTGCTGGTGTAATCCAGGTCGGAGGGCCAGAACTGCGGGTGGAGGACTGGTCCCTGGAATCGCTTGATCCCGGGGATTTCGGCCTCCAGCGGCTCATGATAGTCGTAGTAGCCGGTGGCCATCATGATGAACCGGGTGCGTAGAGCCACGGTGGCCGCATCGTCTGTAGAAACATGCACCGTCCAGGCCTTCCTACAAGTCGACCATTCCATTCGCTGCACCCGATGCCGGAACTTGATCTTCCGGTTGATTCCTTCCTGCTTGGCTGACTCTTGGAGATACTCGCGGATCAACGACCCGTGGGCGATCGAGTGCTTCTGAGTCCAGGGACGCCATGCAAAACCAAACGTAAATAGATCCGAGTCGGACCGAATCCCTGCGCCGTCTTAGACACGGTTCACTCCACCAAAATGCTCGGCGTGCCTACCTGGATACTGGAACAAGCTCCATGTTCCACCAATTTCATGCCGTTCCTCCAGAATGCAATAGCTCAAGTCCGGATGACTCTCCTGCAGTCTGTACGCAAAATTGATCCCGGAGATGCCAGCTCCGATAATGATAATATCGTAGTCAAGGCGGGCGCTTTGTTCGGGCATGTTGAGGAAGGATGGTGTATACTATGGCCGTAGCTGGGTTCGGGTAGTTTGTGGCTTTTAGCATCAGATTCACATCCTGGCGACTGATATATTCATGCAATTTCCCAGGCCTGGTTATGTCCCCACTGGCCTTTTTGTCCGGGGGTACAGTTGTATCATGCGTATTGCCACTACATATGCCCGTGAACCCTAAGTGGATATCGGCATCTCACTCTGTGCCGCCGGACCCGCGGATCCGGCAGCTTGGGGGTTTCTGTCTCCATGCCTGGCTCAGGTCTAACTGCTATGCAAGATCTGTGACTTGTCTTCTGAATTAGGCTGGTGTCGGAGCCGCTACGGAACCGTGTGTCGAAGTACCCACTCTTCTCCCATATTAAATCCATTTCCCAGTTAGGTTCGTGAGTATCATATGGATCTCGGACTTTGCGAGACTAGATGAACCCTGTATACTCACCCCTTCTGTCGCTTTACGTGTTCGTTAAGACCAGAAGCACAGAGGTGCATTTACATCCTGGATTAAAGTGTATCATTATCCACATACGTTAAGCTGGTATCCGTCCAAGACGCTAAAGAAATGTAGAGAATACACGTGGACTCCAACAAGAGCCGAGAAGGTTATCCCAATGCAAGAAAGATTTGAACACCGTCCAACAATGCATAGATGCGTCATGTAAAGAGAAGCAAGGAAAAATGTCGAGGTTAAAGAAAGACAATAAAGAATCTCAATCGATCACGTCATGAAATCTAACTTCACGCCCCTCGTCGAGGCCGTTTACTCTCACCCCCCATTCTCATGCCTCCTCGGCCACCGCCCTCGCCATGTCCACTCTCATCGCCCCCGGGTCTTCCACGCTTGCGATGGGAGCCTCCTCCGCCGCTGCCGCCGTCGCGGTTATAGTCTCGGTCGCGCTGACGATCCCGATTGCGATCTCGATCCCTATCACGTGGTTCCCGGCCGCCGCCGCCGCCCCAGCGCCGATCTTCTTCGGCGTTACCTGGGAGGGGTGGCGGGGGAGGTGGCGGAGGTGGGTGTCCGCCAAGCGAAGATGGAGGCCGAAGGCGCCCTTCATGTTCCTGACTCTGGGCGTCCGATGCATCCTCCCGATCCCGTCGACGACGATTGTCATCGCGTGACCCGGTCCCTCGGCGTGATGCCTCGCGGGACTCGTACCGTTCTTCCCGAGTGCCGCCTGCGCCTGCATCACTTCTACGGCTGCGCTCCCGTTCATAGTCTCGCGTCCGATCTCGGTGCTCCTCTCTCCGGCTGCCACTCCGCGTTCCCTCCTCCTCGCCTGTCCGACGGTCACGTTCCCGATCCCGGTCACGGTCACGTTCTCTGTTATGCTCCCTTTCTCGATCCCGGTCGTGGCCCGAGTACCGTACAGACCTCCGTGACTCGGATCCAGTCTCCTCTACAGGTTCCCCACGGGCTCCGCCTGGTCGATTCCGGGCTTGTCCATCATCCTCAGAGAAAGTGGACGGCCGGCCGGCCATAAGGTCAGGTCGATTCTGTGCTGGTCCCAACCGACCACTTTCATCAGGAGCCTGAGGAGTATTCATACCAGCAGGCTGACGGTTGGCACCTCGGCCACGAATGGTTGGACCTGGGCCCGGACGCTCCGCGGGTCCTCCAGATTGCTGCAGCATGTTGTTGAGTCCAGCAAACCGCTTATCACCACGGCCCCGTTCGCCACCGTAACCGGGGCCTTGGGGCGGTCCACGATTAAGAGAGGATGGCCCTTGCGGTGGTCCAAGCGCACTACGAGGTCCCGATGGGGGAACAACGGACGCAGGAGATGAAGGGTGACCGGGGCGCATGGGTCCTGCAAATGAGCCATCCGAAGGTTGCGGTTGAAGGTTCTTCAGCCGGTCAGGATGTATTCCAGTGGTATCAAGCCTTTCGGCGCCAGGTGACGATGGGGCTGCGGGTGCAGATTGGTCAGGACCGCCACGCATACCCTGGCGACCTGGCCCAGTAGGCGGTTGGCGCTCATTAGGTGCGTTCGGGCCGTTAGATGGCCCAGGCCCGCCCCGTCCACCTCTGCCAGGTGCATTGCGCATCCGGGGCCCAGATGGGATTTCGGCCGGTGGCTCTGGCTGACGCAACCGTCCGTGGCTCAGGTCCGGGTCTCTTGATTCGTGGCTTTCCATGGAAGGTCGTCCAACCCGTTCACTGCGAGGTCCGGTTGGTAGATCCTCATGCCGTGAATGTGCTGGTCCGAAGTTACCGGATCGGCGGTCATCAGGGAAGCGTTCCGGACGGTTTGGAAGTTCCACTCTTGGAGGGGATAACGTTCTCGACGGCAAAGACCGCCTCTCATCCTTTTCCTGTCTCAGTGCCTCCCCGCGTCGATAACCCTCCCGGTCAGGATGATCGTGGATCATCTCTGCGCGATCAGGGTGAGTCGGTGGACCAGAGCGTGCGACAGGCGGTGCGTCCCGAGCGTCCGCAGGGCGTAAACGTCCAGAGCGATCCGGCCACTCCGGTTCTCTTGGGAGACGCCCCTCACGGTAAGGAGGACCACGGAACGGCTCATCCATAGATGGCCTTAGAGGATACTCTCTACCGAGACGACCATAGCCCCTGCCATCACCTACAGGCTGTTCAAACGACCTATTGTAGTCATGCTCGCCGCCATAGCGACCGCCTCGAGGGTACTCTGAATGTCTATCGCGTCTGTCGTCTAGAAGGTCAGGTCGTGGTGGCAACCTTCCATCCTCCCGATAAGGGCGATTAGGCGTATGCGTCTGCGAGCGCACGTTTTGGTTGCTGAGTGGCGCTCGTTCTGGGTCGGGGCGTCGAGGAATGTTGGCTTGCCGGCCAGGTTCGGGGCCCTTTGGAGGGGCTGGGGATGCAGCAGGTGCTGGGGAAGCAGGGGTAGGCTGACCAGTGGTTCGAGACTCTGCAGCTGGAGCAGCAGGCTTCTCATTAGCTGTTGATTCAGCGCCGCTTGCCTGCTGCGTCTGGGAAGCAGCGGGTTCAGCTGTGGTTGAGGCTGTGGTATCAGCCTGCTCAGACGACTTCTGGCCAAGTTTATCCGTTTCTGTTGTGTTCTTCGACACAGCATCGGTCATCTTCGCATCCTCAATCTCTCCATCTTCGACTTCCGTCTTTATAGGTTCTGGCTTGGACGTGTGAGGTCTGTGGTTTGGATTGTCAGAAACACGGGCCAGGGTAGTAAGATTAGTTTTAGGTTGTATTAACTTACTCGGTAGTTGGTTTGAATTCCGTAGCGGAAGCGTTCAAGCCTGGAGTCGAAGATTGAGGCCGCGACGGTAGCGACTTTCCATTTGCGTTCTTGTCAGCTGATTCACTCTTTGGAGGATTGCCCTTCCCTGCTGCTGGTTGACTAGTGATCATAAAGGCCTGGGGAAGCATCCATTTCTTCTCGCGACGGTTGAGATCACCAATCAGAGATGCTGCGGGAATCTTCACATCATCTCGCTCGTCATTCTGACTGAGATTGTTCACACTGGTCAACATATCACGACCAATCCAGTTCACGGCAGGGAAGTTTTGCACGACTCCCTTGAGGACGCTAATGGCATTGCGAATGTGCATGTATTCCCCGCCATTCAGACAAGTTTTGAGGGCAGCCGCCAAAAGACGGTGCCATTTGTACAAAAGTCGGCGGAAGTCCTCATACTCCAGGAATGTCGTCGGTTTGCCTTCAGGGTCAACAAGCATGGCAAATCCAGGAAGATCCTTCTTAGTACCAAACGCTTCCTTCTCGTAGACGGCCTTGTCAGCATGCCAACGGCCAAGATCTCGGATAATCTCGTTCAAGAAGCGGCCAAGGTTATCAGCCTCCCTTGAAGTACACTGGAAAATCAATGCAGTAAGTCTCTGCTCTCGGAACAATTGGTCTAGAAGACCGACAGTCCGGAAGTTAGGTGTTCCAGATGTATGGAGGAATTTGAGGAGTTTAAAGCAGTAAAATGCGTCAATGGGCGACAACAGCAGTCGAGGCATGAAGCACTGCTCTAGCAAGGCCACATTCAACGCATCGTGTTTCCCACGCATACCAGCGAACCACCGATCCTTCTCCTTCTGCAGCTTCGTCCTTGTCAGACCATAAGACTTCAGATGAGCTTTGTTCTCCTCCAGTATGCGGTCTTGAAGCTGAGTTATCTGCTTCTTTTCCCGCTCCTTTCTCTGGCTACCGGCCATGCTAATGTCGGATCGGTCGTTGCCAATAGCAATTACTTTCTTCTTCTGGCGGTCTATTTCATCCTCATATGCTTTTTGAGGTATGTGTACGTCGTAAAGAGACAGTTGCCAGAAGGTGGCATAGAAATGCAGGCCAACCACACCCCATGTTTCAGAAGGCAGAGCCGACTTTACCTGGTCCTGGAGGTCTTGCATAACAGGATTCAGAGGAGTTTCGGGAGTAACTGAGGCTGTGGCGATGGCCTGTTCTGTTGTTTTGTTCACAGCATCGGCATCAGTAGGCTTTTCAGACTGATCTTTGTCAACATCCATATCATTCTCAGCAGACTGCCCGCCATCCGGAGCTGTCGCTTCTCCCTCATCCGTTTCCATCTTGTCCGCCTCATCTTTAGACGGCGACTGTTCCTCGTCCTCACCACTCTTGGCCACCCCTGCTTCCTCTTCCTGTGTCGTTCTTTCACTCTCGGATATCTTCTTGGCCACGCTTGGTCGTCGAATCCAAAAAGCTACTTCAGGCTGGACTCCGAACTCACTAATCAGGGATGCAAGATCGGGGACGAATGAATCGAACTCCTCCACCGACATGTTGCTGCGCAGAAGGTCCAGGTACTGAGCTAAAATTCGATGGATTTCATCAAATACGTTGCCCAGCAGCTTGAGTTCTGAGGAACCCTCCGACTCCTGGAAAATGCAGGTCCAACGTTCCTGGGCGATTGCAATAAGCAACTGACCAGCGAGCTTCGAGACGGTCAACGCTTTCATTAATCGCCTCGATGTAGTTTTAGACTCGTGTCGTCGGTCCAACAGCTGTAGGATTGTTTGGGCTTGAAGGACTTCACCACCTGCCATGGCCTGTATTTGGTTGTCGTTAAAGTTGGTGTCGGTGATGATACCTGCCATAGAACTGATCATCTGTTCTAGGACAATAAGATCGGTGGAATTGTTGTGTCGAAGCTGTTCAACAACATATTGCAACACGGGGGTAGGATCCATTACCGAGTACCGCTTGAATGTTCTGCCCGCAAAGGTTGACAGCGCATTCAGCCAGCGACTGGTCAGTAATCCACCCTCTTGAACACGGCTTCTTCCTTTCTGACCAAGAGAGTTGATCAACGCCCATGTCAAGATGTCGTACCCGAGGTTGGTAAAGTAACGTGCACATTCCACGACAACTTCGATGAGATTTTCATAAGATTCGATTTGGCTGATGGCGACGTTGATAACAATACCAGGATTTGCATACGCAATCTTGGCCAATGCACGAGCCATCGGTCGTATATTCGTCTTGCTCAGCCTCTTGAGTACGTCCTTCGTTTCTGCCCTCGCTTGGTCAAACGCCGACTTAACGTCCGGAAGGCGAGACGTTTGTCCGGAATACCACTCGGCGTACATATTGTACCGAGTTTCCCGGGGGAAGAAGCTCACTAAGTCGAATACTTCGTTGACAACACCGGGGTTTGCTTTGGTCAAACTAATGGCAGGCACCAAGAGGCGTTTGCAGAGGTCCTTCCACCTGGCCTTGTTTTCAGGAGAATCATCCTTACTTAGACTATCTTTTCCAATTCTTGCAAGTTTAGTCAGTAGACTGGCGTCCTGCCCAATTTTGTGTCCAGAAAGGTTTAGGAACGACGAGCAGAGGGCAAAGACATCGTCCACATTCTGGCAGAGAGGAACATTATCGGCCCAGTCGTCCCAGTAGAATCTATAATCAGTCCCATCGTTCGTATCCTCTTTGTCAAGTTGAGCCCATCGAAGCACTCGCCTTGGGGGTGCTTGGGTTAGCCGAATCTGGCCCTTCGGTATGCCAGACTGGTCTGAACTCAGGATTTGCTTCTGCTCTCTGAGCTCCTCTGCAGAAGGGAGCGGGCGCAGTGAAGCATATACCTTACTCAAACAGTGGTGGAGAATACGATGGATAAACTCAGGAAGTTCCGGGTAGCCGTCCATAAGCCAGGGAAATTTGCTGAGTAGGAATAGTGACTCGGGAAGTGCACCAATTGCCAGTAAGCTCTTAAGAAGCATCACTTTCTGGTCTGAGGGCTCAGGAAGCTCATCTTCCTCGGTCTTGGCTGGAGTTGACTTTTCCGTCTCCTGGTCTTTCCCAGGCGTTGCTGATCGTGTCTCTGATTCCCGAAGGCGAGGAGTAGGAGCAGGTAGGGTATCGTCCGATAAAGCACCAGCCATCATCAATGCATTCACACCTCCACCAGGTCGCGCCGCCCTCTCCCTTTCCGCTTTTTCTTTCATTTTTTCCTCCTTCAAAAGATCCATAGAATCATCGGGTCTCCAAAGGTGAGGGTACAAGTCACGTAGTGAAATGAACCCTACCTTAATCAGCAATGCCGCCAGGTAGATAAGATTGTCTGGAAGAATGTCCGACTTGTTACGAGCCCGAGACGAGTAGAAACGAAGCTTGAATCCGAGAAGCTGCGCCGCCACTCGATTCCCTTTAGGTGGCAATGTCCCTGTCTCCTCGATCCATTTACGTGTTCCCGCCTCCTCTTCCGACAGATTGTTGCTTTCAGGGAGTACACGTTTCAGTTCCTCCTCAGAGACTGGTTTACGACCAATCTCGAAGAAGGCCCGGATACCAATCTCGTTGACTCGCTTCCAGAAGTCTCTGTCTCGCTGCTGGTTTGAGTGAACCAATTCGGCCCGTTCTTCATCTGTCGTTACCCATCCCGCAGAGCCTGGCAGTGCCCAGTTTGGAAGCCCGGAATCACGGTTGTCACAGTCAGAACCGCGGAAAGCATCCTCCTTGGGCCACCATGAGCTAGCTCTTAATAGCTTCACAAAGAATCGATATTGTTTAACGAGTACGGCAGCAAAAACATCCAACGTGACGTCAAGCACACGACCAACATCCATATCGAACGCGCCGATCATTGCCTTGACCCTCTCGAAGGTATCCTCAACGACTTCACTCGACGGAGGTTCATTGTTGCTGGTCGTGAAAAGCTCAGTGAGTAGTTTTGAATAGCCCTCAGATTCTTCACGCAGTAGGTTATAGTTAGATTGTCGGTAAAGCAGATTGGTCTGCTTCCGAATCCCCATACGAGCAAATGTATCACGGACAAGGCCCAGAGACTGGAGAAGCGGTGTATCCAGCTGAAGGCGCATGAGCGCGGCGCTGATCCCAGTCGAAAATACCAATGGTTTCAAGGCAGGGTTCGTCGTGTCGGAATCGGTAACAATAGATAACGTGTCCAAGAACAGAGAGCGGGTATCAAGAAGGGTTGCCGTCTGTCCTTCGCTATCCATATCAATATCTTCTGCAGCAACATCTTCTCCTATGATATCTTTAACTGCCGCGCCAGCATCCGTCGGCGACAGCCGTCCGTAAAAAGCGGCGCGGATCACTTCCTGATATATCGCGGCCAACTTTGCGATATCCTGCTCATTCTTTGCATGTACTCCATCCTCGACAAGTTTTTGTTTTCCCGTAGAGGACCATGCCTCAACCACAGTGTCACTCACGTATTCATAATCGAATGGGGGAGGCGGAACTGCAGGTTGGACGGGAGGAACATGCGATATTTGGATTTGCGGTGGGGGCGGTGGGTGTGGCTGTGATTGCGAAGGAGCCGGCGAAGGCGATGGGGGAGGTTGGGGTGGATTCATCGCTGAGGGGGTACCGTTTGCCTGGTTCTGGTCCGGAGCTTCTTTCGCCGGTGTTGTGTTTGGCGGAGACATAGCAGTATCCTTCCGACCGCCAGCCTGATTCTGGTTGTCGCTACTAGGCCTCCGTCCAAGGTTGTTCCTTCCCCCTCGATTATTCTGTCGACGCCCTCTGCCGCGAGTATCGGAGTGATCGCGAGGTGAGTTGTGTTGCGCCATGTTTAGGTTACTCGGTCGGTGAGGAGAGGGCCGTGAGCCGTCGTTTACTGAATCACTAGACCAAGTTCTTTCGCCTCTCTTTCTTTTCCCTCCGCCACCTGGAGCCATGACAGCTTAAGCAAAGCTACCTTGGATTGCTCAGGCAGAGAACCGGAATGTTTCCGACAGGTCGCAAGTCATGGGCGGAGCCTAGGTTTGACTTGTCAGCGTGCACCACAATTAAGATGAGGGTTGAAGCAATTAGGCATGGAAGGGAAAAGCCGTGGGAATGGAACAACCTGCCGTGGAAATGACATGTGACGGAAACTCGAGAGTAAGATTGCCCTGTTCTGAGACAAAGGTGTCTTGGGTTATGGACTCGGTGATTGACGATAATAAAGAGGATTGCACCGCGAGTGTCGCGCTTGGGTCGCTTGTGTTACCCGCGCTCGGCGCTAAGCTTTTTGCAGTCTCCGCTCAGCGTTCTTTCCCTACAACATCAGTGCCAGGTATTCAGGCCTAAGAAAAGAAAAGACCAATGTGAAATAGATGATACTTTCTATGAAATATTGCAATCTAGCTATCTGAAGAATCTGGACTTTCTACTTAGTCATATTACTAATATATATCAAAAGCTCGTGGGTGCTGTACTCGGCGTTGATTATATATAAAAGGCAGAGTGCTGCTTGATAGCAAGATAGTGGCCATGACGGAGTTGATCTACTATGGCTAAAATATTGTGCACATGACCCGGCTACCCAGGAAATATATACCGTATCCGTCTCACCGCCGACTAACCCGTCGCTTTTCACTATATCTATATCTTTATCATTGTTGAAGCTGTTCACACCGCGCAAAAAACATGGAATCTACCTATAAAGCCGAGGAAGAGCTTATTCAAAAGGCCGTACACACGTACAATGAAGAAAAATGCGTAGAGAAACGGGTTAATATAGCCAAATTAGCGCGTGAACAAGGAGTCTCCTATCCTCGCCTTCGTCGTCGAATAGCTGGGCGAGCCTGTAAAACTACTAGGGAACACCCTAATCGACGCCTCGATCCGGCCCAGTACAGTGCTTTATATGAACAGATCGATCGGTTTGATGATACAGGCGCCCCGCTGAGCGCTCAGGATGTCAGAAAGGCTGCAGATGCAATCCTAGAGCGAGATCATACTGATCCTACTACTGCACCACCAAAAGTCTCAAGAAACTGGCCGTACAGGTTTCTTCAGCAGACAGATCGCTATATAAAGCGACCACGCCGTGTGACTGATGTGGATCGGATATATGACGGAGATCATATAAATGAGAATTCTGATGAGATATCTGCGTCTCATACAGGCCGTATAACAACAACTACCACAACTACTAGCTATAAAACGCCGTCACCACCGCCTGAATCGACGATTAAAACGCCTACAACACTACGTTCGATACGCCAGGAGATCACTAGAATACGCAGTTCTGGGAAGGAGCTCTCGCCTGGTTTCGATCGCCTCTTACGGGGTATTTTATCTAATGCAGAGAAAGGTGCTATGGCCTCTGCGGCTTTAGATGAGCTCCTACAGGCTAAGAAACGGCCTTCTCATTCAAAATCTAGATCTAAGCGTCAGATCAAACTAATACGTGTAGGAGATGTACGGCGTCATATTAATCCTAAAGATAAGGCCGATATAGAGGCTCGTTGGCGTTCTAAAGGATAATACCCCTACACCGGGCTCATCGAGCCAGGAAAATGCGGCATCTGAAAACCTGCATTACATAGATCTGCAAGGGGATCTTTAAATAGCTCCATTTTATATATAAATGGAGATTTATGGGCAACTTAGTTGAGCTCTATTGGAAAAGCGACGTTGAGCCGTAGCCGACCCCCTACTGGTTAGAGGTCGGCAGTGAGACGAATACTACAAACCTTATAGACCAGGGATTCGTTAGTGAATTCATTCCATCATTATACGCTAGTAACGCTACAACCTTGCGCCGTTCTCTACAGCAAACCCAACGTCTTAGCCTCAATGTCCACGATCTCAGGAATAAGCTCCTTCAGGCTAGGCTTGCTCGGGGACCATCCAAGCAATTTTCTAGCCCGAAGAGCATGACCTCTGGAGCTGCTTCCCCAAGCGTACAGTCCAAACTCGTTCAACTCCGTGACCTGCGCATCTGGCAGGGATTCAACATCAGGAGATGGAATCAGCTTCTTCTCATAGGCGACTCTAGCCACTTCGCGCTGGATATCGCCCCAAACAAATTCGCCGTTCTCAGCAAGATAGTAGCCCTTATCGTTCCAGGTGGCCTTCCCACCACCGGCGGCGGCAGCGTCTGCCAAAGCACCATATACGTCACTGAGATCCTGGACGTGGACCTGATGCCAAATGTTCTTGCCTTCACCCACCAAGAAACCCTTCTTTCTCTTCAACACAGCAGCGGCAAGCCAGTACGCCTGAACGCTCTTCTGATTACCAGGTCCGCGGCCCGGTCCGTAGATAGTGGGAGGGCAGACGATCGCCGTCTTGACACTTTCGGGGTTCTGCTGGCTAGCCTCGATGATGATCTTGTCGACATTGCGGTGAAAAGAGTCGTCGGGGAGGTTAAGGAGCTCATCGACGCCATCCCAGTCGTTGTGCTCCTTGGAACGGTAAAAGCCCCACGTGTTGCTGCGGAAATCCTCAACGGTGAGAATGCCAGTGCCGGAGGTGTGGATCACCCACACCGGCTTTTCAGGAGTGTGGTGGGCGGCGCCCTTAGCGATTGCCTCTGCAGACGCGACATGGTCACAGTCGGCACAATCTAAGTGGCGCTGTTAGTTACACAAGGCCGTGCCCAGCACATTGATTGTATATAGGTAGGTACTCACGGAGTACAATGTCGGCGTTCTTGACCTCCTCCTCAATAATGTCGGACGAGTCAAGATCTCCAAGCACGATCCTCACATTAGGGTACTTGCTAGTGACCTGAGCTGCTTTGTCCTTGCTACGAACCAAAAGGGAGTACTGCCACTCGGGATGTGCCTGGTGAACGGCATAAAAGACATCTCCGCCAATGTAACCGGTGGCACCGGTGCTGGAGACAAATTAGAGATATATTAGCAATCGATTTGATGCCAGTTTCTGGAAATCAAGTTACCTACAGGAAGACCTTAAGAGGAGCCATTCTCCCGAAGATAACGTGAAGTAAGTGTTACTCACAAACTTTCAATCAGGGTTCACAAGGAGAGGGGTAATAAGGAGGGGCATCTTGAGGTTTTATAGCTGTCTGGAGAATACGTAATAGCCACAGCTCAAGCTGTCGGGGTGCTTTGAAATCAAAAAGTGGAATGATGGATCCGCAGGGTTCAAAGACATGCAATCAGAGTTAAGCGCAGGGTGGGGTTGAAATGGAGATTTGAGGTCATGGACCCAAACTTGCACTGGGACAGAATACATTAAGTTCCACATGGAGCTCGGGAAAAGGAAAGGAAGGTCGATTCGGCGTTCGCTACTACTTCGGGAATCGTGCATCTATACGATCTTCTAACAACGCTGAATGCCCACGTCTTCATGATCATAGTAAATAGGCTACAACACCAAACCATATAATATTAATTGTGTTATAATACTCTCCAATAATTAAAATAACATTGCGACATTCTACATCTCAGACCCTGGTCAAAAAA